ATTTAAAACAAATTATTTTTCAAATCAAAACAAAGGTCTCTTATTTTGAATCCTGAACAAAATGTACATAAAACACTTGGCCATATTTAATGACGCATCATTTTCAAGATAAAGGAATATAGACAAAAAGATACTCGTACCTACGTATCGATTTCAAACAAATTTTTGAGTGACTTTATTGTAGATTATTTTGACGATTGCAACATTCTTGAAGCAAGTTTACGCTTCCTGTATGCCACTTGTGAGATAAATATTTATAGTCCAGGCGATACAACAGTAAAAGTAGGCTTTGGCGTTTTTGTTTGAAGTCACCAATTTCGTTGCAGAGAAAAATCCCAAATGTTATGTAGAATAAGAATCCGTGTTCGCCTATTCCAAAAAACCATTGCTAAATTCACGGGAGCAACAAACATACAAAAAGAACGAAAAATTACTCGTTTTTCGATATATTTTTCCCTGTAACATCGAAAGTAAGCTCTAAATAAAAAAGAGTCTCTATATTTTTTGTTTATTTGACGATTTTCTATAAAGTTTCAACAACCGCGAATAAAAATAGTTGAATTTTGCATTAACAATGGCCGAAAATAATAGAAAACCGTATGTACAGGGTGTCCCTGAAAAGGATGGACAACGCTTGGCCACAGGTTCCTTGGATGAAAATAAGACTATTTAGCCTAACTTACCTATACACAAAAGTGCGCGCCTATTGAGATATACCTAGCCTTCTAAATATAGAATAGATAACCTATTTTTTTTTCAAATAATTTGAACGATATTTTTCTTAGAAACTTTAAATTTGGTACACTTATTTTTTTATATAAGAGCAAGGTAAATATAGAATTTGGAGAGAATACATATACAGGATGTTCTATTTCTAGTGCCTGTGCGCCACTGGCTATCCCGTAACTTTTTTGTGTGTATGTCAATGACGACAGAATTTATATTTTTTAAAGTAAGCACTATTTTAGAAGATTTTTTTGCTCTTACAAAATTTCGATATTGTTTATGGATTTCGAGTAAAATTCGCATTTTTTATACATTAAATATAGCCAAAATNTTAATAGCATGGGGATTATCAATAGCCCATACATGAGTATTTCGGAAATTATTGATTCCATTTCGAGTAAATATTGCCTCGTCCACAGAAACAATTCTTCTAGAAAAATTTTGATCAGCTGCTTGGTTCTGTAGGAGCCATTCACAGAACTGGACTCTGCGGGAATGGTCTTCAGGTAGTAGCGTTTGTACACGTTGAACATGAAACGGATATAGCTGTGTTTTCCATACTTTTGATTGACTTAATTCGACCTCATCTGCAATATCTCGAGTACTTCTTGATGGGTCTTCATCGGTAATATTTAAAATTTGTTGTTCTTTCTGCACATTGTCAGGTTATCTCGGTCTTCCTGCATGTCCCCCACGATGTTCCCTGAAATCACCTGTTTCTCTTGCCCTCCGAACAACATTGGTACGGGGTGTGGGATGAACTCTTAAGGGAAAGCGTTCCGCGTATAGCCGCGAAGCTGCAGCCGCATTGTGATGACACTCCCCGTAACTTAGCAGCATATCCACAAGTTCACTATTCTCATAAGTATGAGCCATTTTCCAATATAACTAATAAAATCATGTCGGAAAGGTATGACACAAGTGATCGACAAGAAATTGACAACCCATTGCTTGACATAAAAACCTAAACATAAACATACTTTTAACCGACAATTTTTTGCAGGTGGTTCAGTTTTTGGATCCTTTTTTTCAGGTACTTAAATCAAGCGATTTTAAAATGTTGCTTCTTTTATTGAAAATAATACCTACTGATACATTTTTTTCATTACATTTGAATTGTAGTAATGAAAGTAATTGGCCTTACTTTAATACAAATTAGTCAAAAACGAATTTTACATACAAAACACCATATCAGATTTTAGCGATTTTGCCATTCATCAAAATGGCTTTTCTTTCTTTAAACGAAAACCGTTCGTCGTATGAACAAATATCAAGAGACCAAATTAACTCCAAAGTAAATCAGTATTACAAACATAATATTGATTTTAAGAAAAAGCAGTGGCGTACTTTTTTTTTCTTAAAAACAATTCAATACAAATCCTGTTCGAACGCCACTGGTAGAAATTTTTTGAAAACTTTTACATCAAAAAATGTAATTTAATGGTCAAAAGAAGTGTACCAAATTTTGTGGGAATATCTGGAGTGGTAGGAAAGTTATGATAAAAAAGGCATTTTTTCCTTAAAACTTTAACACCCTGTATCTCGGAAACGAAGCATTTTCGGATATAATTTTATTTGAAAAATTTTCTTATTTTCTTGCATTCTATACAGTGTTAAAAGGAAAGTATCAACTTAAAAATCACCCTGTATATTTTGCAAAAACTGTAATTTTGCAACTAATTTGTTAAATAAATAATTTAGCGTACACTCTACAGTTGGTAACTTTTTATATGTTGTTTCTGACAACTTTACAAAGCGAAAAATAAAAAGTTCTCTCTTCCAGTAATTTTCGCGAAGTCAAAATCTATCTTGACTCCATTAATAAGTGTTGCATATTATGGATGCCATTTTTTAATAATATTGTGGGAACATCAAGGGGTGGTTGTTTACGAAGATTATTAAACGTTTCATCATTACACGTCAAACATCTTCAGAGATATTTGAATAGGAGCCATTTCTAAAGTCACTGGCTTCAGACCACTGGGACAAGCTCCCGAAATAATGACCGGGATTTAAAAAAACATCCCGTATATTACTATGTTTCAGGTCGCTTCTAATTACGAGCACACAACACGAAGTTTAAAGAAATGGACAGAGCCAGGTACGAAAAAGGTGGAGACGCCGGCAGTAAGGGCGTTGGGTTCCAAGTCGGCCTCCTGACGATGTTTCTTCTGAACGCCCTGCAGAGTATCACCAACTGGAGGCTTTCTACGGAAAATAAACGAGCGGCGAAGTTCGACGACGTGGTGCTGGAGTGGCCAGAGGGCGCCGTCTTGCTGCAGACTAAGCACAAGAAGAAAAGAAAGATCACTTTGGAGGAATTGCTTTCTACTAACTCGAAAAACGACGATTTCAGTCTTCCCAAATATTTTCTCTCATACCAAGAAATCAAAAATGAATTTAAAGTGAAAAACGTGATTATCTGCACTAACGCTTGTGTCCACGAGAGGGTCTTGGAATTTTTGGACAGTCGAAGAATCTCTTCTGAAAGCATGTTATATTGTGAGGATGATGATTATTCGTTTTATACGTTTAATATGGAGATTTTGCCTCGTTTAAAAGAAAGCGTTGAAATATACTTGGAAAAAAATTGCCATAATAGGAATATTGACCAAACGGTAATCACTGATCAAAATCTAAAGGATTTTTTGGAATGCTTGCAGGTTTATGCCGGTTATCCATCCGAGAACGCTTTGGAAAAAGTTATCCAACAATTATTGTCCTACTTGAAAAGGTCTAACGACTTGTACGAAAAGATTTCTTCTTTCGAAATACGCGCCAAGGTAACGGATTGGTTCCAACACAAAGACGGAATATATTTAACTGAGGCCCGCGCAAAGGCGATGTTTTCTGAATTAAGGACGGCCAAATACTGGCTAAAACTAGATCAATACAGGGTGGTCTTTCGACATAACGACCTGCAATTTCCGGATCCCAAAAGAATTTATCACGTCATAGCTAAAGACGGATATTTGCTACAGATGATAAAGGTATATCATGCGCTGAAGAACGATACATCGAAAATCCTGTGCGTCGATCCCGATGACGGCATTGAAGTTCAGAAGCAAGTAGTAGAGGCATTCCAATTGTCTCAGTACACCTTTCTAGTTATCGTTTGGCCTAAACATGTGGAAGAAGTAATAATGACCGAAATAGGTGATAAATTAAGTGCCACCTTAAAGGATTGTCAGTACAAAAAAGTAATTTTAGTAACTGAATCCGATGATAAGTTGGATCAACTCTTTGGATTAGGTCAGAGCGATAGTGAGGTTATTTTTGGTTCTGGGACATTCGACGACTTGTCAGAAGAAACTCGGGAAAGCTTATTAAACAAGAGAAATATCGTTTTCCAAGGGACGGACCTCAGTTTAGGAGAACTAATCCCAATGGGGGAGACCGAAGATTTTGAGAAAGCTGCTAATTTAATTTTACAAAGACTGATCAGCAACGAGAAAGTTACCGTTGGGACACCTGTCATCGGTTTAGATGAAAGTATTTGCCCCCTTTATATAAACCGCATATTTAAGAGGAACATCGAGAACATGGAGGACCAAGAAGCAAACGTCTTTTATTCAGAGGGCAATATTTTTGACGTAAATCCAAATATTATTCTAATCGCAGATACAGCCGGTATGGGAAAGACTACCGTCCTTACCAACTCGGCGGCTATTATTAAGGGCAGACACCCCCATTTGTGGGTCATAAAAATAGAGTTGAACGATTTTTCTGCTACTTTAAAGGATTTCTTGAAAAGGAAAAAGAAAACGATAAACGTCTTGGACCTGCTGAATTCCAAGGATGCCACTAGATTGACAAACGAGCTTGAAAATTTCGTTTTCGCAATGAAAAACAAAGTGGTCTTGATGCTAGACGGGGTGGATGAAGTTAGCCCAGATTATACTGACCTCATAATGAGTTTGCTCTTGCAGTGTGAAGAAGCGTTAAATTTTGCGAAGGTGTTCGTTACTACGAGGCCGCATATGGTCGAGGATTTGAAGTCAAAATTGCAGGTAGCTTCATTTATGTTGGAACCATTCACCGAAAAGAACCAAATGTATTTCCTGACGAGATATTGGACGCACCACTTAAATTTAAAAGAAGACACCGATAAAAGGAAGTGCGAAAAGTACGCCAAGGCTCTCGTGAATAAAATGTCACTGACTGACCGGATTAACGGAATGGAAGACCACTTCGCTGGCATACCCCTGCAGCTGAGGATGATGGCGGAAATATTTCAAGAAAGTATGGCNGTGGGTCATAAAAATAGAGTTGAATGATTTTTCTGGTATTTTAAAGGATTCCTTGAAAAGGAAAAAGAAAACGATACACGTCTTGGACCTGTTGAATTCCAAGGATGCCACTAGATTGATAAACAAGATTGAAAATTTTGTTTTCGCAATGAAAAGAAAAGTGGTCTTGATGCTAGACGGGGTGGACGAAATTAGCCCAGATTATACTGATCTCATAATAAGTTTGCTCTTGCAGTGTCAAGAAGCGTTCAATTTTGCGAAGGTGTTTGTTACTACGAGGCCTCATATGGTCGAGGATTTGAAGGAAAAATTGCAAGTAGCTTTGTTTACGTTGGAACCCTTCACCGAAGAGAACCAAATGTATTTTCTGACGAGATATTGGACGCATCACTTAAACTTAAAAGAAGACACCGATAAAAGGAAGTGCGAAAAGTACGCCAAGGCTCTCGTGAATAAAATGTCACTGACTGACCGGATTAACGGAATGGAAGACCACTTCGCTGGCATACCCCTGCAGCTGAGGATGATGGCGGAAATATTTCAAGAAAGTATGGCATCGGAGCAGGTTCTGGACTGGCAAGGATTCAAAGAGTACTTACATGAGGACGAAGAAGAACCCAAGTTGCCGGAGAAAATGAATTTAGTGAAATTATACGATTTGTTTATAGACAAAAAACGAGACATTTTCATCGACAAAGAAAATCCAAATGGACACACGGCGGCTACTCTGGCGTTGACCGATCAGTTCGATGAGTGTCTCGCCTATCACGGAAAACTCGCCTTGCAAATTGTCCTCGCTGAAAAAGAATGCGAACTGTTTTCATTTTACGAAACCATCACAGATATGGAGATTATAGCGTTAAAGATAGGAATTGTCCAAAAGTCAAACCACAAATTTGCCACAAACGAAATCGATTATATTCACAGGACACTGGCGGAATATTTTATCGCCAAGAGCATAGTAAGAGAACTTCAAAATCAAAACCAAAGTGCTGAGTTTCAAAGGTTTGTGATCGAAGAAGTTTTTGTTGCACATAGATATAAAGTTGTTCTTACTTTCCTCGACAGTTTTTTACAGAAGATTGTAGATTCTCTGCCGTCTACAATTTTCAAGAATTATCAGACCGGTTCGTACGAGGTTCGCAGTTGGATGTACGACGCTGATTTAATTCATCAATTGGCAGTGAGAGGTTTCGTAGCGATCCTTCATCTTCTTTTGAAGTGTGCCAATTTTACAATTATCAGAGATAAAGAGGTTGATTTAGATGATATTTACGACACAAAAATTCGCAGGAAGATTCGGAACTGTAACATATTAAATTGTTTAGAATTCCTTTTGAGACGGGGTGGACTTAACATTAAGGATTATCTTGGTAGAACTCCATTGCATTTCGCCGCTAGCGAGGGTCGCTTAAATATGGTGAAGTTTCTAGTGAAACAAGGGGCGAATATTAACAGTAGGAGCAATTCTTGCGAAACACCGATTGTCTTAGCTGCTCAGAATGGTCACATTGATGTAACAAAATATTTATTGGGGCATGCTCTAAGCTTCGAAGAGACCGTAAGCATCGAAGATGTTAGAGTAAAAGATTCCGATATGACAACGTTCCTTTTAGATATTTTGGGGAATAACATGGAGAATACCATAGTCCCGTACGTGGCTGCTTGCACGGGCTCTCTAAGGGCCTTGGAAGCTTCGATAGAACAAGGAATTGACGTCGATAGTAAATCTGAAAACGGCGAGACCTTGATTTTCGCCGCTACTCGCGGGAGACAATTACACATCATCGAGTACTTGGTAGAGAAAGGCGCGAATATCAACAGTAAAAACGATCGCGGCAGAACAGCACTTCATTTAGTTTCAGAAAAAGGATGCGATGTATCAACTGCTAAATTGTTAATAGAATTAGGCATAGATATTAACATAAAGGATCATTCCGGAATTGCAGCACTACACCTAGCGGCTTCTGGTGAAGCCTTGGACACGTTAAAATTGCTAGTGCAGAGTGGCGCGGACTTAAACAATAAGGATTATTTTGGTGACACCGCCCTGAGTGAAGCCGTCTATTCGTGTAACTTGTCCTGCGTTCAGTTCCTGGTGGAAAATGGCGCCGATGTTTCTTTCACAGACAGAATTGGTAACTCGGCAATACATTTAGCAGCTAGACGGCGACGACTGGATATTGTAAAAGTCTTCGTTGAGAATGGCATGGATATTGGCATTAGAAATAATGACGGACAAACAGTTCTTCATGCGATCGCTTGTGACGCTGATGAGGACATGATTCGGTTTCTTGTGGAACGCGGTTTGGACGTGAATGCCACAGACGATAGAGGGCGCACGATGCTACACGTAGCCATCGAAAGGTTTTCGGTGAACATAAATCCTATCCTCTACAGAGACGTCTCGAATATATTTGAAGAATATTCGCTTCAACTTTCAGATATTTATTGGCCACTGTCACATTTCAAGCTTGTCGTAGATCAAGGGGCGGATGTCAATTTGAAAGACAAAGAGGGACGTACGGTGCTACATCTAGCCGCAGAGAAGGGCCAGTTACTCACCGTCAAATTCCTTCTAGAAGCTGGAGCAGACCTCACCGCTAAAGATAGAAAGGGTCGCACCCCACTGCACTCGGCCGCGAAGAAAGGTTGTCGCTTGGTAAAATTCTTAGTTGAGCAAGGCGCAGATATTGAGAGCAGAGATAATAAAGGAAACACGCCAGCCGCGTTGGCCGAGAAGGCGGGGCACGTGCATCTGCACCAATATTTAACGAAAAATGGAAGACCCTATGTAAGAATATTCCGTACGATGTGTATTTATTTTAATATCTTTATTATTTTATTTATATTTATGATTCGTTTAATCATGTTATTCATGTTTGACAAAAAGACAATTTAGGTAACTGAAACGAAATTGTTATTTTTGTATCTAGAATCCTACTTTTATTTTTTTCGATCGATTCTAATGTAGATAATGCTTTGTCAAAATTGTCCTTTTTCCTATTATCCTAATGATCCTCCTACATTTTTTTTTTAAATAATTTGTTAACATACTTTGAGCACCATAACATGTTTTAACAATAGTAATAAATTCTATTTGAGTTTTTCGATAAAATCTAATGTAGTGACAGTAAAATTTAAGTATGAATTAAAAAAAAATTTTTTTTTAACAATATAGCAATATAATTTGAGCACTGTAGCTCGATATTTTAAAGGTACAAAAGATTATGTTTTTTAATTTTTCGACTTGCACTAAAGTTAAAGTAATTCCTTGGTATTAACATCACGGAAGCAACAAATATTTTTTTTGACTTTTTTTAATGAACTCTACCAGAAAATAATATTTATTACTGGCACTAGCTCCTTTAAAAATATATTACGCCCAGTTATATATAAGCTAGCCGCAAACGAACGGTATGACGTCACAACATGGCTTCTGTGCGTTTTTCTTTTATTATTTTGAGGGAGAAATTGTAAAGAAAAATCAAATTTTCAGTATATATTATATACCCATTCAAATATAGGAAGTTTTCAGAAATAAGTATTCATTATATTGAATCAATTTATCCAATTATTAAATTAATAACAACTATAGGAAGATTTTTTGTTCTAGAACAAATTAAGTTATTTTTGTAACGAGAACACGAAATGGTACTTTTGCGTACAAAGAATGGAAGTTGTCAGTTTAGGATAAAAGTAATAGTTTCTATGGAGATGTCAGCTCATTGTTAAAACTCAAAAATAAGACACAGTAATTATCAACCAAATTACGCGTGGAGAAAAAAAAAATTGTTACTTGGACTTTTATAAGTGGAAATGGTAAAAGGGCTTATAATAGACCTAAAAAAAATAAATTCGTGAGCAGGGGTGGCAAAGGGTTGATTTGGGGGGTTGAAAAGTTGTATCATTGGGATTTCTGGCGAAAGTTGACGTCAAACAAAAAAGTATCCAATACAAAAGTTGTAG